TAAGCCCAGGATAAGCCCAGGATAAGCCTAGGATAAGCCCAGAATAAGGGAGAAACGCAGAGGTACGGCGTCATTTCGGGGTCAGCCTAGGAGAAGCCCAGAATAAGGGAGAAACGCAGAGGTACGGCGGGATTTCGGGGGGTGGGCAGAGGGCGCGACGAGATTTGGAAGGGTTGAGAGGATAGGGGGCTGAGAGTGGTGCGGTAGGCGCCGGAAATCATTCGCTCGGCAAGGAAGCTCTGGCGATGCTGCACTCTTGGAACACAAACGTTATTGTGGTTTGGCCATGGATGCTCCGGTAAGGGCCTCGTCCGTGAATGTATTTCATTCTTCCTCGAGCAGAGATACATTCTCTGCCGTTTTGGAATTGCCACCGAGGTAAAATGAGACGACATGGGTGCACTGTTGTCACATGCAATGAGATGCTCTTGTTCTAGCTTGCGGTCAATGCTCACAGGCCTTCTCTAGCAGCTTCAAGACCCAAGCAGGCTTGCAAAGCTTGCTGCGCGAGGCCACAAACCACTCACCATAATGCTTGCTGCCCACCTGAATTATGTCGTCTCTGGCAAAAAAAACACCTGCTCAATACGCTACAGCCCACCTCTACCCGGATGCAAGCAAGGCGCCTTCTGTTCCTGGCACAAGACCCAGTCATCCGTGCCTCCCTCCAGCCTGCCAGGCAGGATTGTGGACCTCTTCGTGGCCGTCTCCGTTAGCACGCAGCCCATGTGTGAGGAGACGAGGGTGAAGGCCTGCAATGCTAGACGTGATTTCTTTTAGTTGTGATTCACAAAGTCCGCAGATTCTTGAGGTGGGGGTACCCCGTGTGAGCTATAATAAGGTTTATATGGGGGAGTATATAGGGGACTAGTGAGAGATACTAGGAGTTTAGACTATGGCCGGCTTTGCGTCCTGAAATGGCCGCTGAGTGGTCAAAAACATGACACTGCCCTCTGCGCTGCTACATTTAACCCAACTAGCCCAGCATGACGGCGCCGGTCCTCTTCCGGCTCCTCGTCGCTGCTGCTGGGAGCGTCGTGGCTTGAGGGTGGGGCTGTGGTGGAAGGAGCTTTCATGACTGGCTCAGGCGCAGCAATAGGCTCCGTTGCGGCAGAAGGGTTGTAGGCGTGCCTGACAGCTGGGACCCCTACTACATCTCTACTAGAGATTTATAGGAAGTAAGATTAACTTGCAGTGCTCAGTAACGTCTCGGGTCTAGGCCAAGCCTAAACCCCAAACCCCAAGTTCAAAG